CAGCAGCCCAACTCGTCGCTCATGGCAAAGCTTAGCCCCAGCTCCGTGGATCCGGGCAGCCGGCTCGTGCGCGTGCACCGTACGCTCCAAGTCGCCGTGCCCGACCCGCGCGACGCGGCACAGCAGCCCTTCGACGCCAAGCCGCCGTGTGGCGACTGCGACTGCTTCCTCGACAAGAAGGCGCATGGTGCCGAGCTGGCCAGCGACGAACAGGGGCATCTTGAACACCACCTTGGCGGCCACGTCTCGGGCAAGCTGCCCAACGTCTATGCGATTGGTGACGTCGCTGATGCGTTTGGCGCGCTCAACGCAGGGTACCAGGCGTGGAACATGGCCGATGTGGCAACGGACAACATTCTGCGCGACATCAACGCCAAGAACGGCACGTCGGGCGATGCGCAGATGGTCGACTTCCAGCCTGCGGTCAACATGCTCAAGCTCAGCCTGGGTCTGGGCAAGATGGTCTTCCAAGGCTCCGTCATGGCCGATGATACGCCCGAAGAGCAGATCAACCCGAGCGATACGGGCGATTTGGACGACATGCCGAACAACAAGATCGACAGGCTCGATGTGAATGGTCGCATCCCAGGCAGGCCTGAGATCACCATCAAGCACGACCCCAACGACCTCGGCGTCGAGGGAGTCTGGTCGTTCATGGCCAATGCAGACCCATCGGATATGCATAAGTGATTCTTCCCCCCTTTGATATTTTGCATTTGTAGCCTTCATAGCGTGGGCATTGCGCAAGGAATCACATTCATGGTCAGACAGGTGCAAGCGTGGACTGGCGTGAGAAAGGGACTGAGTTGCGATTGCGATTGCGATTGCGAATGTGTATGAAATGTGCATGCAAAATGAAATTGTGGTGTGGGCGGATCAAGGCTCGCTCGGGGCGGCTTCAAGAGCGGCGGCGATGTCAGCGAGGCTCCACGAGAAGCGAAGGCGGCTGCTGGGGTCGCGCAGTCCGCCTCCGAGCGTGTGGATGGCAGCCAGCGACGTGCGGGACGAGCGGCCTGGCACTGCGATTTTCTCGGGCGCGCCACATGTCGAGCCGCCACACTCTTCATCCGCGCAGTTGGTGCCCTCGGTGGCCGAGAACGGCGCACGCAGATACTGGGACGATGCAAACAGCGCTGCGGAAGATGTGCAGGCGACCGTCGAGGGCAGCGGGTTGAAATCGTCGGCGCGGTGCTTGCCCCAGCGTGGCTTGAGCGGTGCCGAGATCTTCTGCTTTTTGATCATGTCGAGCTCGAGCGAGAGCATGAGCAGGTGCGACGAGTTGCTCAGTAAGCGGAACCGCAGCCCCTGCGCCGCTCCTCCGCCGCAGCCGGGACTCGACGCACTTCGACCGCGTCCGCTCGGCGTACTGTGCTGCGAGGCAGCCGGTTCGTCGTCGGAGCCGTCGATGCCACTGGCAGTCTCGTCCAGGATCTCATCGGCACGCGGCGGATAGGATGGGCCGCGGCGCAGACCGTCCAAGCCGCCCATGAGCAGCGGTTGCGCCATCGACGCGCCTTGCTGCCCAATCGACGACGCGACCACTTTGACCGCGCCGCGTCGACCTCGCGAACCGCGCGGCGGGGACGGGTCGTCGTCGGCGCCTTGCTCTGCTTCGCCCTCGGCGCCATTTGCTCGCGCGGTGGCCGCCGCAGCCGCGTACGTCAGATCGGGCGAAGAGCGGACACTGCGAATGGGCGTCGACACGCTGATCAGCGAGCCGTCCCGACGGCTGTTCCGACGCGACCGTGAAGAAGAGCCTCGGGAAGAGGCCGAGTCTGCCGCAGAAACACCACCGCCGAACAGACCCACCGCACACTGCCGACTGCTTCGGCGCGGGGAAGTGTCTCGTCCACGTCGGCTTCGTCCCGAACGAGTGCGGGACGGCGACGGCGTAACCTCGCCGTCCGAGTCAGACCCCTCGCCATTCTCGTCATCCTCTTTGATGTCGAAGGCAGAAAAGCCGTGCGGCACTGGCGCATCCACCTTGGGCCTCAACGATCTCGGGCCGGAAGACGTCCTGCGATGCTTTCGGCGCACCACGCGGAACCCGTCCGCGTCGACGGCCGTGTCACTGGCCTTGTCGGCGGCTCGCGATCGTGGCGGAGTGACATCGGCTTCGTCTGCGCTTGAAGCCGAGGAGGACGAACCCTTGCGGAACGTTGGCGACGTTGGCGCCGATGCCGTGTCCGTCGGGGCAGGGCCGTGCGAGAAGGGATCCGGGCGATGCAAGCCGCTACGGTCGTAACTCTTTGCGCTCGCACCGCCAACGTCGACGGTGAGTCCCTCTCCGGGCGAGGCTCGGACAGATCGCAGCGGGCGCTCGGCTTTGTGCGGCCGCAATGCTTGCTCCGTCGCTCTGTCTTCCTCTGTGGGCTGCAGCTCGATTGGCTGGCCCAGCTTTCGCGGCGAGGTGGCGCCAGTAGCACCAGCCTCCTTGTCGCCATCTGCGCCTGGATGCTGAGCATCTCTGTGCGGTCGATCGGTGGCTCGGCCGCGGCCTCCGACGCCCGCCGCTGGCCGGCTGCGACTGCGGCTGCGGAACGTCTGCAGCTGCACCACGGACGAGAGCTCTGTATCAGGGTCGATCGGCTGTCCGAGTCCAGAGACGTACGCCGACGGATCACGGTCGGCCTCGGGCAGAGAGGCTACACCTCGACCACGGCGGCTGGCAGAGTCGAGCTTGTGCGTGTAAGATCCCTTGTCGGTGGTGCAGATACTGTCGTTGCTGCTCTGCCGAGAGCCGAGCAAGGATGCCGGTGGCGATGGGCTCGGCGACGGCGAGGGTGGGCGACCGGTCTTGAGAGCGACTTTGCGTTGCGTCTGCAGGCCTCGCTCGTCGGATGCGCTTGCGGCACTTGCGAGACGGTAGATCTGGGCAAAGTCGTTCTCCGCTGCGGCGGTAAGGTGGCGATCGTTGCTGGAGCTATCGAACGCATCGCCCGAGACCTTGGCTGCGGAGGCAAGCGACTCCCTAGCTTGCCTGGCGGCTAAGCCGGGCAGGAGGATGAGGTTGGGCAGGCGAGCGAGGTTGCGCCAGCTGGCAGACAGCAGGCTTGGTTCGGACTCTGCCTCGGTCATGTCCTCGGATCCAGAAGACGTCTGGCGCACCCGTGGTGCGGCGGCCTCATCGGGCGCGCGCGACCAGATGCGGAGCTGGTTCTGAAGGCCGGCCAAGCGCGCCTGATAGCTGCTTGGTGACGGCGAGGGCGGCGAGGTGCCAGCGGCGTGAGCATGGATGAGAGACTGGCCGTGCACGGGATTGCCATTCTGTGGCGGAGACCCTGGGGCCTGCTCCTCGTCGTCTTCGGGCTCGCTCTCGAAATCGCCGATGATCCAGGATGATTTCTTGACATGTTTAGGAGACGCTTTGCGCTTGGTCCGAGATGCCGAGTGCTGCGCAGCGATGGTCTCTTCGGGGAAGAACTCGACCTTGTCAACCTGGATCATGTCCTCGATGCTGTGGACGATGTGACCGAGAGGGTCCGACTCTGACGTGACGGGGATGGGCACCAGTGGCTTGAGGGCGGTAAAGCCGGGTGGACTTCGCTGAACGAGCGAGGTGGAAGGTGTGGAGACAGCAGGTGAGGGACGATCGCTTCCGTCAGTGGAAGAGGGAAGGTTGTCGTGACTCGAGGCACCGTCCGTGGAAGCGTTGGCGACGCCCTCACACTGAGCGGAGGAGCGAGAGGAGCGAGAGGAGCGCTCCTTGATGTCAATAGCCGGGGTCTCTGACGCATTGTGACCGTAGCTGAACTCGCAGCTGCTTGCAGAGCTGGAAGGACACGACGACTCAAGGTCGGATGCGTCGTCGTCGCTGGTGCGACTGAGATGGCTGGTCTGACGAGCACGTTCACGGGAGGAAGACTTGAGGCGTGATGTGGGTGGCAAAGCCGAGTCTTGCGAGTCGGAAGGGCGTTGCTGCAGGAGGATGCGCATGCCCCGCCTGCGTTCGCGCTCGATGCTGGACCATCGGCGAGACCTGCGGCGATGTGCATTGCGGTTGCCATGGGTTGTGTCGAGGTCCTCGGTAGAGGATAGAAGGGGCGAGTCGTCTTCGTCCGAGGGGAAGAGGGCTTCCTCCTTGGCGATGGAGAGACGCCGTGACGCTTTGTCGTCGATGGCTTGGCTGTTGCGCAATGGGCTGGAACGATGCAGCGGTCGGGCTGTCCTGCGATGCGGCTGCGGGATGACAGGCTCCTCCTCACTGGCGTCGTCGCCTTCGCCGCCACTGCCGCTTGCGCTGGCGCCGCTAAGTACCGATGCGCTTGCGCCCCTGCGATCCCACCTTCGACTTGGGCTGACGTTGGCGCTGCGGCCGCGACTTGCCTTGTATAATGAAGGCAATGCGGCGGATGCTGCTGTGGCGGAAGGCTTGTCGGAAGCGGAGAGGGAGGCGGACACGGCGACGGGCTGACCAAGGAGAGATACGAACTGGGAGGCTTCGCCGGTGGTTGGCGAGGTAACCAAGGGCGAGCGCAGGGGGATTGGTGCTACGGAGCGGGAAGTAGTATCACGACCCTTTCTGGTGCGCCGTCGGGTGGGCTCGGCCGGTTGGGATGTCTGCTGTGTTGTGCTGATGCTCAATTGGTTCATCGCGTGTTGGATGTGCTGTGCTGCGTGGTCGAGTGATGCAGCGAGATCTTCGTCGCTTGCTCTTGCCTTTCCTTTGGCGACGTAGGAGAGCGTCTTGTGTGTTTGTGGATCATGCTGATCTGGTGGCTGCACGGGCGAGGATGGAGATTCGTCGCCGAGCGATTGGGCTTCCGACGAGGATGCGCCAATCCGAGATGCGGACTGGTCGGACGACATGGTGATGTGGATAAGACGACTGCGTGCGCTCGATGGTTCGTGACTACGCCAAGCAACCAGTTGTGAGATTCATCGAAGACCAGGGTGTTGTTCTGCGGGGATGGCTGAGTAGAGCGCACTGAAGCTGCCGAACGGTCTGAGAACGGCGATGAGCGGTCGAATGAGTGGCAAGCAGTCGGCGAGCTTCGAAGCTAAGGTTCGCTGAGCAAAATGCCATGCAGGTTGGGTCGGTGTGGTAGGACGAGGCAAATGCGTGGATCGTGGATCGTGGGTCGTGTGGCGTGTGGCGTAGATAGCGGGATGTTGGCGAGCGCGTCGCGTAGGCGTGTCGAGATGTGATGGACAGAAGCGCGGCCGATCGAGTGGACGACGGAAGAGCCGGAGATGCAGAATGGTGACGATAGGAAGGTAAGACGGAGCGCGAGGGTGATGGTCGAAGCAAGCTGGGCTGGAAGAGGTTGCGGTTGCAGCTGAGAGTGACGGTGCGCAAGGTGGGCTGTGATGGTCCCACGGCCTGCTGTGACTGTTCGTGGTTGCGGCTGCTCTCCACTCTTTGCAGGGATCTCACACGCAAAGAACGTGGATTTGTCTGCGAGGCGGCTCAACACGGGTCCAACCCAGCCACGCCGCCTTTGCAGCCCTGCAGCCGTTGAGGGCTGCTCGCCTGCTACTGCTGCTGCGCTCAAAGTTGAATTGCCGAGCTCAGCGGCCCTACAGATCGCCGCAACCCTGAGCCGCAAAGCCAACGCGCCGCCCAACCTCGAATCGCAACGCGCGGATTTTCAACCTCGGCTCTCTCCCTCTCTCTCGCTGTCATTTCGCCTCTAGCCTCTCGCCGCCCATGCAGAGGAACCTTTTTTTTTCCGCAACCTTGCTGGGAATTCCGAAAAGTTTCATTTGCTCTCCAAGTGGGCGGAGCGGCATTGCTAAAGTCCGCACACAAATTGTCCAGATGCCAGACCGTTGCCCACGAAAGCAAGCTTGATGCTGGGACGACTGCAAGGAAGCGGCCTCAGTACTGTATGACCATGGCAGTGTCGGTCTGTGAGGACAACTCACGATATGGTAGGGAGATGGCAATGTGTGCTGGCGAGCGGTTTGGCCACCAAAAAAGGCCTGCAACCTTCTGCCGGACGAGCTTGTTTGGGGGATTGTGCTGCTCGATTTCATGTCGCTGCAGAACACGAGCAATTGCACCTGCACCTGCACCTGCAACCTGCAGAGCACGTCTTTGTTTGCTCGAGCCACTCGGGCAATTCGCTTCTCTGGCTCAACGACTCGCTTCGGCCTTCAAAAGCCGCCTCGCCTCACGCTCCTGCAAATCCGCACATCTTGCCGATCTCCCCACATTTGCCACCCACAAACGCCCGATCGCCTATAGGCCAGTCAAGATCCGTGCTGCTCGGTAACGTAAGCCAGGACTGTACGCAAACGAATGAAGTTCATTTTCTGCATGCATGCAAGACGCACGGCGCAGTCGGTATTGTATGTGTACATCGGCCATGTCGGAGACGGCGAAATGAAAGCGAGGCGCGAACACGTCTAGGCCGTCCTCACGGGCACTTCGACGCTGCTGCTACCGTTGGAGAACGAATTGGACCGCGAGACGTTGCGGGAGGGGTTCCTCGACGCATTGCGCGAAGCGTTGCGAGAGGCGTTGCGCGACGTGGCGTGCTGCGAAGTGTGGTACGAGCTGCGACGCGAGCCAAGTCCAGTCACCGGTCGCTTGTGCGTCGTGTGGGCCTCTTGGCCGCCTTCGTTGGTCGCACCCTTGCGCTCCGCATTGAGCTGCTGCGCAAACGGCGATCGCTTTCGCAGAACAGGTCCCTTCCAGTAGATCACATACACCGCCACCACTAGCACCGTGGCGATGCAGAAGAGGATCGTCGATGCGTACTCGAGGTTTCGTCCTTTTGAGCGTCCAATGTTGGTGTAGAACGGCGTCGCCGGCACCGTCAGCACTCCCGCCAGGAAGTCTCGCGACCAACCGTTGCCGCCCGTCGCAGACGCCGAATAAGGGCCGTAAGCAGCAATCATGTAGTCAACTGTGGATCCGTAGATAGAAGCGTTGGCGATGCCGATGAGCGCAGCGAAGACCATGGTGCCCATCCAGTGCACAGGCGGACCGACTGAGGTCCATGCGAAGCCGATGAGGCCGATTGGCAAGAGCGGTGCGGTGAAGAGAAGCCACCAGAGGCGCGACTCGAATTGCGCGTGCTCGTCTCCGGGCCTTGCTGCGCGAACCTTTTTCTGATGCCCGATGGCAACGACGTAGATGCCCCAGGCGATAAAGTAGCCCACCAACAGCGGAAGGAAGGCTAGACCGATGGCGACCGTGCTGAAGTCCCACTGCTTGTACACCAGCGAATACGACTGCAGGAAGATGAAGATCAGCGCGTCGCTGAAGCCAGACAGCAGCGAAAGCGTAAGCACAATGGGCTCCGTCAGGAACATGTGGAACGGTCGGATCCAGGTCACGAGGATCTCCTTGGCCGAGAAACGTTCCCTGAAGCTGCGCAGCTCGTTCGGACCATAAATGTTCGGATTCTTGCCTGACTTGCGCCACTTCTTGGCGATGCGGTCCATCATGATCGTGGATCGTGTTTCGGGTACAAGGACGAGGTGAAGCAGCTGGACGGCACCGCCAAAGATGAGCTGAATCCAGATCGTCCATCGCCAGTTGAGGTTCGCCTCCACAAAGCCACCGACGACGGGGCCAAGCACTGAGCCACCGACGGAGGAGAAGACGACGTAGGCAACGGCATACTGCTGGTTTTCTGAATCCCACATGTCGGCGATCATACCCAGGGTGACCGAACCTCCCGCCGAGGAGAGTCCACCAAGGGCACGACCGACCATGATCGAGGCAAAGTTCGGAGCGAGCGCAACAGGAAGCTGCCAGATGTTGACGAGGAACAGACTGAGCTGAAGGATCGGTTTGCGGCCTAGTTCCTCCGACCAAGGGGCCCACAGCTCGCAGCCGAAGGCATACATGACGAGGAAGATCATAGCACCGCAGCGAGCTGCTTGCGCGCTGACGTTGAACTCCTCCGAGATTCCGGTGATGCCGTTCGAGTAGAGCGAGGTGTTGAAGTTCATCGAGACTTGCACGAGGAAGATGACGGTGAGGATGGTCCACTTTTTGAACGACGAGAAGCTGTATCCGAGCTCATCGTAGCAGTCATCTTCGGTGATCTCAATCTTGCCGTCCGAGCGCATGCGCGTGAGCGTCTTGTCGAGCTTCTCGGCGTTAAAGTGCGCGTGAGCATGACCGGCATCTGAGGCCTGCGTTTGCGTGTGGGGCTGCGTTCCCCCGGGAGTTGTAGAGGCCCGGGGAGAGGTATCGAGAGCCTTCTTCTCTTCCATGTTGGTCTAGCGGACTGGGGAAGCAAGAGGAAGATACGAGGGAAGAGGAAGGGAGACGGGGGCGTGAGGTTATATATGAACAAGTCTCGGGACCAATCCGGGGAAGCCGAAATCAGGATGCGATTTGTGTGGGGCCTCCTGCGGGACCTCCGCAAGAATGGGCAAACGAGCTCACGCAGTCGAACCCTTGTCTCGAAGCATAAGGAATCGAGCAGCCGATTGCGGCGGGCTTCACATCCGAAGCCGCTCGCGACCGCCGCTTCCAACGGGATTTGACTCGACCGCTCAAGGCTGGTCCCTTTGTGCTGCCGTACGGACGAGCAGCACCCAGCCACCACGGTCAAAGCACCACGCTGGGTCGTCATTGTCCCGCCCCGCTTCGCTTCGCTTGCACGCCATGGCGCTGTGCACCGTCGTCTGCATCCGCGGCGAGTAAAAATTAAAGCACGGTCAGCCGCACAACCAAGCGGCGGCTCATGCGACAGGCGAGATGACGGCACATCGGAGCTTTTCTTTTCTTTTTTCCTTTTTTACCGTGACAGCAAATCCGCCTAGCAGAGCGCAGCATCGGAGAATTGATTCGAGCGTTCCGATTCTTTTTGCAAGAGCGCGCGCCGCTCGCGGCGCATCGACGCTCCATGCTGTCGATGACGTAAAGAGACATGCGCTCGCTCGCCGACCCGTGACGCTTGTCTGAACAGCTAGATTTTGCCGGTCTGTGGATGCCGGGCAGTTACATTGCTGCCCGCCTCACCACGATACCCGACGCAGCCGAGGGGCCTCGGTCTGCTCCAACGTGTTGGCGGGTCCATGGCAATCCAGGAACGCCCTTTCGATCGTGCTTTGCGCACTGGGCTCGGGGTTCTCGCCGCAACGTCCAGCTCCCAAGCCGTTTCGACCGCCACACACCAGATGTTCCTCAAAGACCTCGTGAGCCTACACGTTTTGCGTGCGAAGTCGACCAAGACAAAATTGCAAAGAGTCATACAAGTACAGATGATGAAGCCCGCCGCACGAGAACCCTATCGGAGCGACGGACCAAGGCTAGCTGCCATACCGCCCATGCCGACGCCCATGCGCAGGAAAGATCCGCCGACGCTCGCACCCGATCCGCTCGCCGCACCGCCAGCATGCTTGCCATGGACCGATGCGCCTGCGCGGTCCAGCTCGCTCTTCCACCGGTCCAGCGCCTGGTAACGTGGCTTGCTCGAACTGGTTGCCGAGCGATCCAGCTCGACATACTGCCCGACCTGATCGATGCGCGCCTTGATGCTCTCGTCCAGGATGAGCGAGATCAGAAGATTTTCCACCTTGTCCACGCTGATGTTGAGCTGCTGCGCCAAGTAGCCCAGCTGGATGCGCGAATACGGCCGGATGGTGTCGATGAGATACTGCGTCCGCAGCCCGCGCAGCACATCGTCAATGTATGCCTTGATGAAGGGATCGTCAAGAATCGTGCGCTTGTTCTCGCGCAGGATCTTTTCGGCCTCGTGCACCTCTCTGCGCTGGTACGCCGAGACGAGATTGGTCATGGCCACAATCTCCGGATCGTTCTTGTACGGCTTCGTCTCTTGCGAGTCGAACGGGTTGATGTCGCTTCCCATGAGCATGTGGGCAAGCACGAGGTATTTGAGCACCTGGACGCGCTGCGTACTGCCCGCCTCATCGTAGTTGAGGAAGGCTTGGAAGAAGTCGACTTGCGCTGCCGCCCAGTTCTTCTCGGACATGTGCATCTTGCCGCCGCACTCGCGAATCACGCCCATGATACGCGGGTGCGGGATGGCACTCTTGACCTGCAACGTCGAATTGTAGACCTCTTTGAGCTTCTTGAAGTTGCCCACTTCGCCATACATCTGGATCTCGAGCGCAAACACCTCGAGAAGGATGGTGCCCTTGGATTGGTCGTCGGTGCCGTCGTGGCCGGTGCAGTAGGCGCGCAACTCCTTGAGCGACTTGGCGAGCCGGTTCCACTCCTTGCGTGCCAGCCAGATGCGCGCGAGCTTGAGGTCGGTCTTGACGGACAGGCGCTCGTTCTTGGCATCCTCGAGGGCGGACTTGGTCACGTCGTAGAACGACTGCATCTCGGCAAGACCGACGTCGGTGGCGTTGGAGACATAGTCGAGGATGTTGTTGATCGACTTTTCCGAGTAGTTGCGTGTGACGGCGCTCTTGGTATACGAGAGCAGCCGTGTGTACGAGTCGAGGGCCTCGGCGTGGCGCCCGCGGTGGAAGTTGATCTTGGTCTGCTGCTTGAGGGCCTTGAAGCCCCAGTCGCCCTTTTCCTTTTCGGCATCGACGACCGCCTTGAGCTCACGGATGGCGCCGTCGGGATCGTGGTCTTTGATGTTCTTGGCATTGTAGTACATGTTTTCGATGTCGGCGTCGGCATCTTCGAGATCATCGTCCTCCTCGTACTCAAAGTCGTAGTCCTCGTCCGCCGCATCGTCCATGATGAATTCGTCGTCCGACATGGTTGCTGTCTTGCTCTCGCAGTGTAGCAGCTTGTAACAAGAGCCTTGGATGGGCTAGAGCCGCCCTCGAATGTGCACTCGGCGTGATGAGGGGTGAATGTGCGTGGCCTGAGAGGACTCGCTGTTCGCGAGCTGGATCGACACGAGTGCGTTGTCGGGGAGGAACGATGTGCGCGCAGTTTCCTCGGAGCCTCTCATGTGGAGCGTTCCAAAGGCGAAGGCTGTCCCGTGCGCGTCGATTTGAGAATGGTGGAGATGCGACCTAACAGGTGCTAAAAATCGCTTTCCCCGCATCCCGCTCCTGTGAAGTGCGTCGGAAACGTCGAAATTCGAGCGGCAGAACAAGCGTGAAACTGGCACTCTCCTGGGGCGGCGGGTTTCACTTGCGTCACTGGAGCTTCCACTGATTTACCCACAGCCCTGCATCTCCATCAACTATCGTCGGCCTCTTCCTCAGTGCAGCGTTGTTTGCAGCAGCCACGAGGCTAACACCCTCCTCGACCGGAATTTCGACCGGAACTGAACGGCACGACGGTGACGAAGCGCTTGACGGAACGCGGTCATTCGCACTGGACCATCAGCGGCTCCCATCTTCACACAATGACACGCAACGCAAACGCGCAAACGGGCTCTCGGTCTCTCCCGCCCGCAGAGACCAAGCTTCCTTCAGCGAGCCACGAGACCTCGGCGTTGAAGCGGCAGCTGGGCGACTTGGGCTCGTCGCGGCGTCAGGACCGACATCTCGCCGACAGGGCCGGCATCCTCACCGACGAGGAGCACAAGCTCGGCGATCTCAACGTCGTAGCTGCGTACAAGGCACATTTCCGAGAGTCGCCTTTTGAGTTCTTGCAGCAATTCGTTGCATACGGTCAGGGAACCGGCTGGCGTGGCTATTCAAACTACATTGGCGCACCCATCCTCTACAATGGATGCTCCGAAGAGAGCATCCGCGCCGTGCTTAACAGCGAACAGGTGCAAGACCGCATTCGCAAGCTGGCATCGAGCCGCGTCGATCGCCTCCTGCCAGACCAGTCACCCGCATCTCCCACCGGTCCCAATAAAATGCAGAAGAATCTCGCCATCTTCAAGGAGCGAAAGCGCCGTCAGATCGAACAGCAGTTGCGCGAAGAGGCGCTCGCCATCCTCCAGGTCAGCGTGGCGCGCATCGACTCGCTCTCTTTCCTCAAGTTCTTTGCTGCCACCGTCAACAACATCCTCGCCAGAATGTACCACCAAGGTATCCACATCAGCGTTCCGCAGGTGCTCGAACTCCGTCGGGTCGCCGCGTACGCCGCAGAACGAAAGCAGAGCATCCTCTTCCTTCCTTGTCACAAGTCGCACATCGACTATCTCACCGTTTCTTGGCTCATGTTCCGACTCGGCATCGCCCTTCCGCACATCATTGCTGGCGAGAATCTCGACTTGCCCGTGCTCGGTGACGTACTTCGCAAGGGAGGCGCCTTTTTCATCCGTCGCACCTTCTCCGGCGATCAATTGTATCCTGCTGTCATCAAAGAGTATGTCGAGACGCTTCTCGCCAGCGGCAAAAATCTCGAGTGCTTCATCGAGGGCACCCGCTCCCGAACGGGCAAGCTCCTGCCTCCCAAGCTCGGCATCCTCAAGTACGTCGTCGAGGGTCTGCTCAACGGACGTACCGACGATGTGTGGATCTGCCCGGTTAGCCTCCAGTACGACTCGGTCATCGAGTCGGAGACGTATGTATCCGAGCTGCTTGGCAAGCCAAAGGAGGCAGAGTCCCTTCTCGGTCTGCTCTCGGGCAGCTCGTCGCTGTTGCAACTCAAGATGGGCCGCATCGACATCCGCTTCGATACACCCTGGTCCCTGCAAGGCTTCATCAAGGAGCAAAAGGATCGCCGAGCAGCGCCGGGCTACAAGGACGAAAAGGTGGAGCTGGACCCGGTCAAGAACGAGAGGCACAAGATGCTTTTACTCAAGGCGCTCGGCTACCGCGTTCTCGCCGACATCAACAAGGTCTCTGTGATCATGCCGGCTGCTCTGATCGGCACGGTTGTGCTCATCCTGCGAGGACGCGGCGTGTCGCGAAGTGAGCTCATCCGCAGGGTCGAGTGGCTCCGAGCGGCCATCGTCAAGAAGGGCTTCACCGTTGCCGACTTTGGTGCGATGAACACGGGCGAGGTGGTGGACCGCGCGCTCAGCACCGTCATGAAGGGTCTGATCGCCGAGGAGAGGGATGTGATGGAGCCGACGTTTGTGCCGGTCAAGCGCTTCGAGCTCAGCTTCTACCGCAACCAGGTCATTCACATCTTTGTGTCCGAGTCGCTCGCAGCTGCGGCACTCTACACCAAGGTCAAGCAGGGCGGCACCGCACCGATGCAGAGGATGACGCGACAGGACATGCTGAACGAGTGTCTCTTCATCTCTTCGGTGCTGCGCAACGAATTCGTGTTTGGCGTCGACTCGCTCGAGATCAACGTCGACCGCACCGTCGACGGCATGGTCGCCGACGGAATTCTGGACAAGCACCCGGACATCAAGCCCGACGAGGGCGGCTCGATCGAACTCAGCCTCAAGGAGCGCGAAAATGGCCGAGAGAATTTCGACTCGTTCCTATTCCTCATCTGGCCCTTCATTGAAGGGTACTGGCTGGCGGCCGTGTCGCTACTCTCGCTGATCCCGCAGGGCGCCGAGGAGAAAGGCTATCCGGAGAGCAAGCTGCCCTGGTTTGCAGCCAAGGATTTCGAAAAGCACACGCAGCTGCTCGGCAAGACGCTCTACGCGCAAGGCGAGCTGTCGTACCTCGAGTCCATCAATGCGGCCACACTATCGCAAGCCTTCACCAGGATGGAGGAGATGGGTATGATTCTGCGCAAAAAATCGTCGCATCAGAAGCCCGTGCCGATCATGTCCCTGCACCCAAGCTTCTGGCCCTCGCAGACGTCCAAGCTGACCGACTATATCGATCACCTCTCCCAGTTCCGACGCGAGGGCAAGGACCGACGAGAGCAGAACGTCGGTGCCAAGGTGCGCAAGTACACGTCTCTGTACATGCCCTCGGTCGTGGAAGAGTCGGCCAACAAGCAGCGACAGGCGCAGATGTGATCACGGTACGCTCCCGGAAAAGCTCCTCTCTTATTCATGCTTCACGGAGAATAGCAATGTCGATACCAATTTGCGTCTATCAGACAGGCTGAATGCGTAACGAATTAGTGTTGTACTTGTCAGCCGGCTGTTTGAGGGATGCGCATCGTCTGTTTGGCTGGGCTGGAAGCGACTTTCGACATGTTGGATTCTGCTTTTCTTCGCGTGTTGGTTGCGTTTTGGCTCGGCATCCAAAGCGGCGCTCGGACGCTGCTGTTCCGAAGTCGGCGGCGCTGCTTTCCCTCCTGGGTTTGAAGCTTTGGCCACCTTTGGCCAGCTCTGCCGTGAGTCGGATTCTGATTTGCTCCTCCGCCACGTCTTCTCCGCACGACATCCTCGCCGAACGCAGCTATCCGGCGGCATCCCCTGGCTCCTCTTCTTTTGCTTTGCCACTGCTTCTGCCAGGCTTCCTTTCCGGCTCACACACGCACATTTTCCGCCCCTCGTCACTCACTGCTTCTGGACTATCGAGGCAGCTTCTGCTCGATCCGTCCTTCCTATCATCAAGCTGTCGGCGCACGCTTTCATCAAGCTCGTCACCGCCGCCTCTGTTCGGTTCGGACAGACCAACACTGCTTCCCGCTCGGTAGCCACCATGGCCTCTTCATCTAACTCCGCCCCGGCCGCTTCGGCTGACAAGACCGGCAAGCACGACGACATCGCCGCCGCTCGCCGCTTCCTCGAGTACGTCGACGCCAGCCCCACTCCCTTCCACGCCGTCGCCACTACCTCGGCCCTCCTGGACGCCGCCGGCTTCGTGCGCGTCAAGGAGAACGAGCTGTGGGACAACAAAGTCAAGCAGGGCGGCAAGTACTACTTTACCCGCAACCAGTCCGCCATCGTCGCATTCGCCGTCGGTGCAAAGTACCAGCCCGGCAACGGTGTCCACGTCGTCGGCGCCCACACCGACTCTCCCAACTTCCAGATCAAGCCCGTCTCCCGAAAGGCCAAGGAGGGCTACCTGCAGTGCGGCGTAGAGACCTACGGCGGCGGCATCTGGGCCTCGTGGTTCGACCGCGATCTCGGCGTCGCCGGCAGGGTCATCGTCTCGGACTCCAAGAACCACGACGCCTTCACCGGCAAGCTCGTCCACATCAAGCGGCCCATCCTCCGCATCCCCACCCTCGCCATCCACCTCAACCGCACCGTCAACGAGGCCTTCAAGTTCAACGTCGAGGACAATACCGTCCCCATCCTCGGCCTCGCCACCGAGCAGCTCAACAAGCGCGCCGACGAGGCCGCCGAGGCTGCCAAGGTCACCCCGCAGGCAGTCGGCTCGCCCGTCATGGCCGAGAAGCACCACTCGATCCTGCTCGACCTGCTCGCATCCGAACTCGGCATCCCCGTCGAGCAGATCCAGGACTTTGAGCTCAGCCTCTACGACACCCAGCCAGCCTCGATCGGCGGCATCAACAACGAATTCATCCACTCGCCCCGCCTCGACAACCAGATGTCGTGCTTCTGTGCCACCGAGGCGCTCATCGAGTCGCTTGCCTCCGCCGAGTCGCTCAACGCATCCTCCTCTATCCGCGCCATCGCTCTCTTCGACAACGAGGAGGTCGGCTCCGTCTCCACTCACGGCGCCGAATCCAACATGCTTCCCAGCCTCATCCAGCGCCTCGTCGCCCTGCCCATCGCGTCTTCCGGCTCCTCGGCACCCGCAGCCTCGAATCTGTACGAACAGGCCATCGCACGATCCTTCCTCCTCTCCTCGGACATGGCGCACGGCTTCCATCCCAACTACCCCTCCTTCTACGAGGAGAACCACCGCCCCAAGATCAACGGCGGACCCGTCATCAAGACCAACGTCAAGCAGCGATACGCCACCACCGGCCCCACCGCTTTCCTCATCCGACGCATCGCCCAGCGCGCACAGGTGCCTCTGCAGTCGTTTGTCGTCAAGAACGACATGCCCTGCGGCTCCACCATCGGTCCCATGCTCAGCAAGCTCGGCATCCGCACCCTCGACCTCGGCAACCCACAGCTTTCCATGCACTCGATTCGTGAGACCTGCGGCACCAAAGACGTTGCCTACAAGATCGAGCTCTTCAAGCACTTTTTCGACTCGTTCGAACAGGTCGATGCTCAGCTCACCATCGACTGAGCATCGCATGCCCAGCAGCAGGTCAATCTTAGCGCCTGCTGCAACGAGCCTTTCGCGTGCAATCAAAGCTTTCACACTATGCCAGTCCAGAAGCTTTATGGTGGCGCTGTGAGTACGACAGTGAGGCCAATGCCAAACGTCGAGTGTCATTAATTGGCACAATCATGACAGGATCGAGTTGAGCATCGAGGCTTCTTCTGCGTTGAGATGCGGCGACAGGTGCGATCCGAACGAGGAACGACCTGCCGTCTGCGCCAGATGTTGCAGATACTGCGAGAGCCAGCTCTTAAGGTCCATGCTGTAGACAGGATCCGACTTGAGATCCTCGTCGTCCTCCAGCGCCAGGTCGTCATCGTTCTGCAGCGCGTCCAATCCACCAGGTCCTAGCATGTCCGAGAGGAAGGCAAAGTCGTCGTTGCCTTGTCCGCGCGGCTCATACTCGTCGTCCCAGTCGCCGTCCTCATCGTCCGTTTCGGGTGTTCGCGCGCCATCCCCCCTGCCACCTGCGCCGCCGCCGCCGGCATGCGAAGCAGAGCTCCATTCCTTCAGAAGCACCTTGATGATCTTGGCAAACATCGGCACGCTGGTGTACTGATGCGGCATCGTCTTGGCGCGCGAGCGAGTGCGGATGATGCCCGAGTTGTCCGGCAGAATATCGCCTCGCACGTGGATGGTGTTCAGGAATGGGCGTCTGCTGTCGAGCACCTTTGCCAAAGCAAGCGCACTGACGCGCTGTGCCCAGAATCCTTGGAAGGTCTCGACATTGTCGACCCACTTCTTGCATAGCACCTCGAGGCCGTTACCACTTTCGCTGCCAGGAAACTGTGACAACGGCGCGACCTGGATTGACTCGAGCAGATCCATGACCTGCTTGGCCTGCTCGTCGCTCTCGTGCATCAGGTACGCTATCGGCATGATGAGCGACTGCGAGAAAGTGGCCGTCTGTGCAGTGGAGAGGCGCTGAACCATCGCGTTGGAGAGCTCTGGCAGAACATGGGCGACTCGATCGCCGGCCTTCCTTAGAAGTGCAACGACAAGGTCGCCCACGGCCAGTCCACCGCTTTCCGAGTCGTCCGAGGGAGCGAGCAGCTTGGCGATGATTTGAAGCATGGCGTCCACCGACGTGGTCTGTCCATTGGGGTCTTTCCAGCCCAGGAGCTCGGATGTGCATTTTTTGACGAGAACGGTGATGCACTGTATGCCGTTTTGGAGAACATCGCGATCTTGGCTCACAGACAGCGCATGGAACAGGTTTGGGCAGACGACGTTGACCGCGCCACGAAGGGCCGCTGGAGGTGCGCCATCAAGCACACTCTTGACCAGCTCGATCGCAGTCTCGGCGAGCGCCGAAGGCTCGTCGTCGGCGGTCGATGCGGTCTGATCGGACAAGCTCGAGCCGATTGCTGCCGCCAGGAAGGGCAGGCTCTGCTGCACGATGACCTGGGACACGCCGGGCTGCTTGGAGCCAGCCAGGGACTCGAGTAGATCCGAAATGACGGAGAGCAGGATAATGTCCTTGGCGTTCGGAGCCCACACCTGAAGGGCCGCCTTGACGATCTCGCCGACGGTCGCGGGCTCGACGAGAGCGGCGGTGGTGGCTGCACCGTCATCCGTCTCTTCGACGACGACTGCTTGGACGGTCTCGATGATGAGGATGAGGGTATCCTCTGAGGCCTGTGTGAGCAGAGGGCCGAGCTTTTGGATGATGCGTGGAGCATAAGGGCCGACAACGCTTGATGGAAGATGTCGATAGAAGTTCTTGACCGTTCGCACCGCCGAGATCTTGACGGGAAGCGAGCCGCTGTCGGATTCAATGGCGTTGACGGCAGCCTCCAGGAATTGCACGGCGAGCTCAGCCGGAAGAGAAGTGGCAAATTGAGAAGCAAAGACGAAGCCGCGTCCCTGCAGGAATGGAGGCGCGTCGTTGTCGACGTTGGGCAGGACGATGGTGGTGAAGATGGATTCAAGGTCGAGGATCTGCTTGCCTTGGGATTGCGAGTCGACGATGTCGGTGATGGCATCTGCATTGTTGCCGATGGCGGTCAAGACGCCCTCGTGAATCTTCCACCAGTCCTGGTCTCCATTCGCCCTGTCGGCGTTGGCACGATCGACGAGCTGGTGGGCCTGTTGGCCGATGGAGCGGAGACTTGGGACGGGGAAGTCCTCGATGAGCATGCCCAGCAGGTCGGCGACGGCGATGCGGAGGCTATAGGCGAGCGTCTCGTCGTCTTCGTCTGCGATGAAAGCGTTTGCATCGGTGGCCCAATTGTCCTCGTCGTCGGTGGTCATGTCGATGTAGACGAGGAGGAGGCCGATGAGCTGCTGCAAAGCTGGAGTCTCGTTGCCGTTTCCTCCAGTGCCGCCACTGACGAAAATGTCGCGACAACGATCGCCGCGAGAGGCGTCGTTGATGAAGTCGAGGATCGAAGAGACGAGAGAGGGCACATCGGAGGCCACGTCGTCATCACCTTCTTCCGACGAAGGCAGGTCGACGTCCGAGGCGTTGGACAGGTGGAGCTGACGAAAGGGCGGAAGGAGCGAGACGAGGTTGGCGAGCGAAGACTGGATGAAGGCGTGCAGATGAGACTTGAACTGCGAGCGGAAGAGTGCGGCCACCTTGAGGGTCTTGAAGATCTCGTTGCGGACTGCAAGCGTGCCCCAGTTCTGCTGGAGGTCTGCGCCAAGCTGCGCGGCGGCATCGTAGGAGAGCATCGAGTGCATGATGGAGAGCCAGCGTGGAAGAATGGTGTTGGAAGCTTGCTTGACGACATCCGGGTAGGTTTCCTTGACCATGTAGAGTGTGGTGAGGCACTGGCGGAAGACGAGCACGCACCTCGCTCGGATATAGGCGCTGTGAGCATCCTCGAGCGCAAGGACCTGTTCCAGGGCAGGCAGGATCTCTTTTGCCACTTGGATCAATTGCACTTCGTCCATCTCGACGCGGACGAATTCGGAGAGGAGCGTCATGGCTCCATGCAAGCCGTTGGGTTCTGGATGCGCAAGGAGCTGTTGGATGTGAGGCAAGAGGTCCGGATACTCGTCCGGATAGTCAGGACCTGCAATGGTGGAGATGGCGTAGGACGTGGCGAGGCGGATCTTGCGTACCGGATCGCTGAGGCCAGGAAGGAGAGCGCTGCGGATCTGCTGCTTGACGCTCACATCGACGGCAGACCCGACGAAGCCGTCAAAGTAGGGCGACCACCTGGCTGTGACGTACTTGCGGAGGGCAAGGCCCGCAGATTGGCGGATGTGAACGGGTGTCGAGGGGTCGAGCAGCACCTTGACGAAGCCGAGGCCGGCGTGGCCCTGTGGGTCGTGCTCTGGCGCACGCAACGACTTCAGCTGTGACTCGGCGTTGGTTCTCAGCGCCGCGTCAGGCGAGAGAGTCGCCTCCAGACACGCCGCTAGCTGCTGTTCCATGTTGGCGATGCTGATCAGTGCGCAGCGCGATGAAGGTGCCGTGGATCGTCCTGGTGGTCAAACCAAACGTTGCCGAGTGTTGGTCTCGAGCAAGGCGCTCTTTTCGACTGCTGCGTCGCGTTGCTCAATCTTTCTCAATCTTTCTCGAGCGGGAAAAACAGCCCGATGCATGCACACTGTGCTTCCCGATTGCTGTCCAGCACATTTGCCGTCTCCCTCAGCTTCCGGGTCCCGGGTTTTGGCTGGCTTCCGCCCGAACAGGCAAGGAGCCGCCTACAAACTTGCTTTTTCACCACCGGAAGCCTCACGTCAATCACTCCCTAACACAGAAAGAAGGCGCCATTTGCTTTTCGATCGATCGGAGAAGTACATTGAATCGAGGATGGTTGTTGGTGGACGCATGCCTGACTCGCGAGCAAAGCTCGGCGATCGTTCAAGCAGACTCGAGGCCGGAGAGCACCGATTGGTCCACCTGCACCACAGCCCCGTGGCGCATGCCGGAAGGAGAGAGAGCCGGGTCGCAGGCGGCGTACGGGATGGTGTAGAGATCTGTCGTCTGGAAGCACGAGTAGCCAGGTCCGCCGTAGTTGTCCTCCCACAAGTAGAATTTGGAAGGGTTGACAATGTCACGTTGGATCGCAGGTCCCTCCCACACCACATCGACCGGCTTGCCGATGCGCTCCCACGTGCCGAAGAGGCCCTCTGACGTCTTGTCCATCACCACTCCCGTGCCCCCGCTGACATCCGAGTACCATCGTACCAGGTTGCCATTGCCCAGATCGGCGACCTCTTGGTCAATCACCTTGTTTCCAAAATTGGCACTCTCCCATCGCTGCGGCGTGGTAAAGTTGATCAGATCCGTCGTGTGCGAGTAGTACACGAACGGACCCTCGGCAGCGCCGGTATGATCGGCATCCGAGCCTGCGTACGTCTGCGACGACCAAAACACGGCGTACGCGTTGGCGGCAGGATCCCACGTGGCAGACGGCGCCCACACGTATCCGGCCGTGGGTCCCATCAGCTCCACCAGTCGCTCGGTCGACCAGTTGACACCGTCGCTCGACTCCCACACGTGGATGCTACGCGAGCCGTGCGACTGGGCATCGCCCCAGTTGGTCTTGCCGATGTCCAGGTCCGTGGCGAGGATGTAGAACTGCACGTGTCACAATGATAGCCACGAGTGATCAGCTTGGTCCCTGCTCTACCTTTTGCAGCGACTGGTGCTCACCTTTCCATTGACTTGGTTCTGGAAGATGTAAGGATCGCGTGCGCCTCCCGTCCCAAGCGTGGGAATCAACTCGCCCTTGGAGCCTGACACGGCACTGAAAGTGACAGGCGCATCGGCCTTGGAGTAGTGAAGGAAGACGTGAGGCACGTCGCCGAGGAAAGTGGCTGAAAGGAAACCAGCAGCCCCGTCGGCTCGCTCTTGCAAGGCGGTAGCGCTGGTTTCAGGCGCAGGCAATCCCTGCACGAGACGAGCCCCTGAGATGGCCAGGATGACAGCGCTCAGAACTGAGGGGAAGGATCGCATCTTGATGATATGCTGGGGCTTCAGGGGGGAAGGGACGAAGGGACGAAGGTAGATAGGGCGACGTAAAGCTTGGGTCAATTGGGGGATTTGGGCTTGGATGGCATGAACGCTGCCGGGCTTTTATCCGCGTCTATCACCGCTTCAGCTGCAATGCGAACGCCACTGGGCTTCGGAACTGGAAAGCAGGCGGTCATCAGAACCCTTCGACTTGGTACATGGCAATCTGGCTGTCCTGGGCGAAGCCGGGCAGGTCTCGTGGCAGTCTTCGGCAATCTTTGAATTGCAATGATGCGGGGAGGTGGTCGAGTAGGATGGCCGAATGACGGAGGCGATGTCGGTCTAGCCCCCTGCAATCCGTTTGGGAGCAAGAGCGCCAGGATCGGCAGGATGGAATCGGCAGGATGGATATTTGCGGGGCCCCAGCAAGCTGACCAGCTCGGTCTCCCTTCTGCCAAGCCAACTCGATAGACTCGTACTTACTAACCTTGCTCGGCACCCTGGTTCGCTTTACAGATGCACAAGAAATCTCGAACTGGTTGCGGCATTCTCTAGCCCCTCTCGCAAATCTTTCTGCCCGGGTCCAAGGGAAGCGGATACGATCGTTCGGCTAGAGCCTAGCTCGATCGGCAAGGGCCAAAGGCACATCCGAAAATCTGCTCTGCCGAGTTGCGGCACTTTTCCGCTAGCGCTTTTCGGCATTAGCTGAAGGCTTCGTGCATAGCCCGGGCAAACGTCGGCGTCCTCGGGAATCTCGGTCCACACCTTCCATTGCTCCGTACCAACCTCAGCACCTCCCAGGCTCTCGGGCCACGACACCGTCTGTTGTGTCTCGCCAGGGGCCCATGGCAAAAAGATTTGAGCTTACCCGTTCTCACCTCCTGCTGGCATGCGACTTGCGATTTCGAGGCAGTGCACTCTCCTCGAGGCGTTTTTTGATTTTAGGAAATGCACGGCGCAAGTCCGGAGTGCGGCGTTGGAGGTCCGAGCGATGCACTAAGAGCCCCTTTGTTGACGCCGAGCTCCGGGTTCAAAGCGCACATGCAGTTCCATCGGCAATATGGCAGAGACAGAACGCTAGCCTCTGGCGCCTGCATGGAAGCACATCGATCATACGCCAAGCCCATACGAGCTACATCTCGAGCTGCAAGACGATTTGTCTTTTGCCCTAGTCTGCGCATGTAAGAAGACGACGCACCCCTCCGATCTGCAGGCATAACAATGATCGCCTCCGACGCCCACCCTTCAGACCCGAATCCACCGCCTTCTGAATGGCGTTGAACAATGAACACACCAATCGCATGCCCGTGCCGGACCTTCTCACCAAGCTCATTACCAGATGATCCTATGTGCACGAGGGTGGTGAAAGAAACATCGGCGCCTTTACCTTGTACCAGAGCTTTTATATAAAGGGTCTGGGTTCGTTTTGTGCTTGGAGCTTCGTCCACGAGACTCCAAACAGCCTCTCTTGCCTTGATCGTGCACAACTATGCCTGCCGTACCTTGGTTCTCTGCTCTTTTGCTCGTGTTGGTAGCTCGTCAGGCTGCGTCCTTGCCTCTCGAAGCTCAACAGCACAGTCCGCTGCACGGGCGAGATTCCGTAAAGTGCAGCTCGCTCAAGCAACGAGTCAACTGGAACTCCCTATCCGCGGCCCAAAAGCAGTCGTATTTCGACGCGGTCAAGTGCCTCAAGACCAAGCCTTCTCAGACAGCTATCAGCGCCTCCCAAAGTCTCTACGACGACTTTCCATCCATTCATATCCAGCAGAACCACAACATCCACTCTGTTGCAGCCTTCCTGCCTTGGCATCGCCGCTTCGTACAGGCTCGCGAGAAAGCGCTTCAATCATGCGGATACACCGGCCCAACGCCCTATTGGGACTGGACCAAGGCAGCCGACACGGGCAATCCGAAGATCGACCCCATTTTCTCACCTGACGATGGCTTTGGTGGAAGCGGCGATCCCGAAAGCCCCAACACTGTAACGCAAGGTCCCTTTAGCAATTTCGCCCTCGACATAATGCCGGGCGACGATGACGAACCTTACAGCGACCCACACATGCTCCGACGCAACTTCGAGAACAACCCTTACCTCATCGGCAATTTCAACTCCACCGCCGTCCAAAAGGGACAAGCGATCGCTGCCTTCAACGACTATCGCTACTATGTAGAAGGGATACCTCACGGCGCCGTGCACCAGTACATTGCTGGCGACATGGGTCCAGCCTCCTCACCCAATGAGCCGCTCTTCTTCCTCCACCACGCCCAGATCGATCGACTCTGGGCCTTGTGGCAAGACGAGGATGTCAAACGTCTCAACGACTATGCGGGCAATCTTCCAGGCGCCAGCACCCGTGACGGGCCCTTCCAGGCCACCATCGACGATATGCTGCCCTCTTTTGGCAATCTAATCGATCAAGTCTCGGTCCGCAACGTTATGGACACTCGGGCCGGTGACTTGTGCTACGAAGTAAGTCGAAAGCAGCTACTAACCCCGCCAACGTCGCTGCAACACTGGACTGACTCTTCATTGTTCTCACCTCGTCTTCAGTACGTTTGACCGCTGCATTCATAGATTCAGCCAGAGATCAAACTCGACAGACGCCCAAGATTGGCGAGAAATCTAATATAGAACGAGCCGAATCGCAAAGTAGATGAAGTGGCACGAAACGCGATATGATGAAGGGTAGATAGGGAGCTCGGTGGAAGTATATGATGACTGATCGTGCAGGAGCCATTCGGTCACAAGACTGGTCGAAATCGGAGGAGCAAGGCGCCGCGCTCACCGCTCACGCCGATGTGTTCGCTGCGGCGGCGGGCAAGACCAGCTGTAGGGCCAGTAGGATCAAAATGACCAGCGGTAGAAGCGTATTGGATGCTGTCATCTTGATATCCCTTCCAGCTCCATTTGGAGAGCCGGTGTTGGATCCGCTGTTGGACTCGGAGCCATTCACCGTGGCACCGCTGATCGAGATGTTCCTTCCGAAGTCGCAAGTCCATTGATCACCCACGGAAGACGGTGGTAAGAGCGGCTCGACACAGCGTTGCCACTCGGTTGGCCGTCGTGCGAACTTCTCTGCGACCTGGCAGTAGACGATACAGCCCTCATACTTGCGTGGAGCAGATGCGGCCGCTTCACTGGCGTCATACTGGCTTCCGTTCAGGACCATGCCAGCACAGCAAGATTGGATCGCAGAGGAACCCGAGGTTGAGGGCGAGAAGCCGACATACCCGCAGAACGGACGTCCTGCAGCGATCTGGAATGCCGTAGAGGTTGGCAGCGCCGTGCCGTTGCACACTGATGCTCCTGCTCCCGACATCTTCTTGCGATGATCCACTAGCTTCGGGTTGCGATGAATGTGCGTTTTGCTGCGTTGGCCTGTGAGCCAGCTGGCGTGTGCGCGTTTCTACCCAGCGAGAGCAGTTGAGCGTTGTGTGTAATAGAACGGAACGAGGCGGGAAGAGACTATGGGTGGTTGGAGTGTCACCCCATTTCTACAATTGCGTCTCGTCCAACCAGAGGAAACTGTCTTGCCACCTCGAAGCCGAGAGGTGAATCCGGGGGGCTAATCCGTGGATATTTGGCTGCGTGCTTCGGTGCGGATCGTTGGCGTCATATTTCTTGCATGGGAGCTCTCGGGCCAGCAAGGAACAGGAAGGAGGTGCAAATCGCATGAACCTGGGCGCGGCCAGTGAGACACACTAGGACGTCTTGGCGCGGCGCGAGGATATGGAACTGATTATACAGGCATTCATGCACTGAGGCGGTGGCTCACCGAATGCTGTCAGTCCGCTTCCACACCGAGACGACCTTCAGAGCTACTCGCACACTCGGAACGGCATGCAAGGGCGGGGGCAAAGCATGGCGAAAAAAATACGCCGCGCCCGCCTTCCAATGGTGCACAACGATGTCATTCCGGCATTGTCTGGCGTTTCCGGCCAATTCTGTCTGGGGAAATCGAAGCTAGGGCGTTTGGATGGAGCAGGTCGGCCGAGTGCCGGCCGAACGCTTCGGATTCGGGAATCTGCAACGCTGCGCGGGGGCAGGTCTTGGCGTCCCGACCCTCCATCGGGCCCATCCAAAAACGCTTAGGCCGTCCAAGAACGCCACCCCATTCGATTCGGGTTACATCAGCTCAACGATGCAGTCTCTGCCCTCTAGCCTAGCCGAATCGAAACCGCTCTGGACGTTCCATCCTCTCCCTCCTGCCACCAGTACACGCTGCAACTGTTTCGATTCGACAGCTGGTGTTGTCGTGCCTGAAATGGTCAGCCGTAATTCACCCCTCGCCTGTTCCCGAGTTCCTGACCCACCCTGTCTCGTTTGAGACCAATTCCAGGAGTTTGCTGCGAATTTCCACCCTGGCATCTCTCCTGCTGTTCGCTCTAGAGAGGCACTAGCTCCTCGTCACGGCTGCCGGCTCAAAGCATTCAGCGTTATCCGAGACTTTTCTCTCGCCATCATGCCCGCTCGCTAAAACATGTTTCCGACCACACTTGTGTGAGCCAAACGCATTGCTGTGGCCTCGCTCTCTTGCAACCAAAGTCCAACGAAGCTACCGGCGTAGGGGCACTCTCAACTCGTCGCGGTGCGTCCGAGACGTTTGCAGCTCCGTCCGCCACCGTCTGGCTGGCAACGGAAGCCGGGGCTGGAGCGACGGACCTCCATCGACGGAGCTGTGTCTGTCACAAGTCTGGCAGCAATGGACGCACCATCCCTGTTGCAGGGCCCGTTCGCACGCTGCAGTGAGATCATCTCCTCTACTCACCCTTGTTGTATGTGTTCGCGCTTGTCTGTGATTCTTCAGGCTTTGGGTTCCGACTGAACGCCTTCATTTAAAAGTGCCATCGAGGCTCTATTTGTTGCTGTGCCGGTTCATACACAGCCTCACGGATTCGTAGCATCGAGGCGGAATTTGCTCAAATTCGACCGCTAAGAGCCAGCAATCTTGAGCGGTGCCAACGGAGACCATGCGGTGTGTTGAAAATCACGTGCTGTCGGCGAAACGTTCACGCGACGAGACCACACGGTCGGTGAGAATCCATGTGAGCGCTTTGCGCAACAGCGGGGGAATAGTAGTCGTCTCTCTGATGACTTGTTGAGTGCCACACGGAAGCTAGCCCTCGCGTACAGGAAGGGTGCTGCTCTTTCCTACATGCGGTTTGTGCGCTAGGGCTAGGGCGAGTTCGATGCATTGCAGCGAAGGTTCATGTGGACGTCGCAGGCTGTGCATGCCTCACAAGCTACGCCGGCTGCTGGTAAAGGTATTGAGCGTTGGTCATTGGCCGTGAAGAAGTGATGAGGCTGGGACCAGTGGTTGTAACATTGACAGCCCCACCTTCGCTGCAACGTCCGAGTCGACCCTAAGGGAACAAAACTCTCACGTCAAAGACAATACATCGTGCATCTGGATGGCGTGGACGGTCAGAACCTCGTGGTCGCGCAAACGACCTTGTGATCACTTTCAAATGGCCTTGAATGATTGCCGCAAGAGGCTGTATGCCTAATGGCCTTTCAGTGAGCTACGTTGCATGTGATTGGGCAGCATGCGAATGCGTTCCTCAGCGTACCCGTCTCAGCCTTCCAAACAACCGCTCGCTGGCGTAAAGACTTAAAAGCCGGATGATTGGCAGCAGTTCTCGTTTCGTTCTCGAACAACCCTTCTCAAACGGCATTCTCAGACCATTGCTCGCTTCTTCCAAATATGTTTGTCACCAAAGTAGGACTGGTCCGAGCGCTTTTGCTGGCTCTCGTGATTACAGCTGCGGTCGTCTCCGCTCATCCGGGCGAGGCTCCTCCGACCCCGCAGAATATCGTGGAGGGCAAACTTTACAGGCGCTCGGCACAGGCGCAGTACAAGCGTTGCAACGGCTCTCGCCAATCACTGCAACGCCGTCACGCCGTCAACACTCAAGTGCACCGACGGCAGAAGCTGCTCGAGCAGCTCCGTCGTGCCCGCACCGCTCAGCGTCGTTCTGACTCAGGTTACGCATCGGAGGTGCTCGAAACCAGCCATGTCTCCAACCGCACCGACATTACGAGCAACTCAACTACCTCGGCGGTCTTTGCAAACAGCACGGACGCCTGTGTCTTGCAGCCCGAAGTCACAATCGGGCCCTACTGGGTCAGCGGCGAATTGCTTCGTTCCAACCTGACCGACGACCAGCCGGGTGTGCCCCTTTACCTCGATGCACAGTTCGTCAACATCAACACGTGTGAGCCCGTTACCGACCTGTACTGGGAGATCTGGAACTGCAACTCGACTGGCGTCTACTCTGGAGTGGTGGCCAGTGGCAACGGCAACATGGAAGACGAATCCAACCTCAATGCGACGTTCCTTCGGGGTATTCAACGCACAGACGAGAACGGTGCTGCTCAATTTCAGACCATCTTCCCCGGCCACTACACCGGTCGAGCGCACCACATCCACGTCGTCGCGCACATCAATGCTACAGTGCTCCCAAACAGCACGCTGGCCAACTCGGCCAACACCGGTGCAGTCCACATTGGCCAGTTGTTCTTCGATCAAGACCTCATTTCCCAAGTCGAAGCCTCGTCCCCCTACTCGTCCAACACGCAAAACATCACCACCAACGCCGAAGACAGCATCTTTGCTCAAGAGGCCGATAGCGAGGGTTCTGACCCTGTCCTAGAGTACGTGCTGTTGGGCGACAAAATCGAGGATGGCGTCTTTGCCTGGACCAGCATCGCTGTGGATGTCGACGCCAAGTACAACACATCCGCTGCAGCGGCATACACAAAGGATGGCGGTGTGGCAAACGAGCAGTCGCTCAACGGTATGGGTGATGGTGCTCCGGGAGGGCTCGCTCCGTCGAAGTGAAGCTCTCTCGTTACGATGCGCGGATCTTTATGATGTTTCTTCCACCGCACAATCTGTCGTATTGTCCGGCGAACGTCTGTGGTAGATGGGATCGGTCGCCTCGCAATAGAATGTTTTCCAGCTTTACGGTGGCCGGTGATACAACGCACGCCCGGCGTACATTCCTTACTTTGCTCGCTGAACTCAGATCGTCGATATCAAGACTTGAGACATTGTGGGTCAGTAGGGTCAATCTTGCCTAGTCAGCGAGGAGGCTCGCGCTTAATGGGATTGGGGCCAAAGATGCCGATACGACGGAGCATGGCGCTGGCGTCGATGGCCGCCGCCTCCGAGTAGGCGCTGTCGTGCGTCCAATCGGCGCATCTGGGGCCTAGCACAGTACATCCGACCAGCGAGCCGGCGGG